GTATTGCTCCTCATCCCACTCTCTTTGAAAACTCAGATCTACTTCATCTCTTGATCCCCAATGATCTCGTTGATCAAAATCCATCTTTCGTTTGGCCTGAAACCTGTTTTCAACAGACCTTCTATCATAACATCCAAAGGAGGATTTGTTATCCCTATAACTAGGCCAATATTCATCATCAGAAGCAGAGGTAAGGCACCATTCTTCACTTCTATGATGGTGTACGCTTGAACGGTGCACTCCATAGTTGTGCTCTGCAGTGTCAATCAGATAGTTATTATCTTCAGAACTGTGGCTCTTCCACTTCAAATGTCTCCGAACTCTCCGTTCATTGTGCTTCAGGTCTTCTTTAATGAAGTTTCTGACTCTTACACGATACCTACCACCACTTTCATTCAACTTCTTATCATCCCTTCTGTTTCTCAAGTGACAGTAATCAGCTTTAGCCACTTGGTGCCTTTCCTTTTTGGAATTTGAAGGTGATCCTCTCGGATCTTGATTTCTTCTTGAATCACAATAATCATCTTTTAATGCCTCAGACCAAGTATTAGAATTAGAAGGAGAAGGGCTAGTGCATCCATGATCATCATATGATAAATCTATATCTGCCACACATGGGTTTGTCTCTGTCGTATTGCTACCATTATCTACATCCTCCACAGGGCTATTCAGAATTTTCATAACTCTCGGATTTTCTCCATTAGAATCCTGAAGCATATGACTGGATACTGCTGCAGACTCGTGTGATCTGAACAGACACATACAAAGGCATAAATGTTTTAAGATTTGATCCATAGTGAGATAAAGTTGCATAGATGCACAACCAAGGTGTAACAATATGAAAGAATTATAAGTGTCAGTTCAGGTCTTCGGGAGAAATGTATACTGTTTGGATTCTTTAGAACATCTGAAACAGAGAGGAATTTAGATTTTGAAGAGGAGGGGTCATGAGACAAGTATGAAGTTTCGCTACACATAGCAGAACCAGATATATTAAAAGGAGCCAACACAATAGTTTATAAATAATTGAATAATAAGGAATTTTAGTGTCAGATAAGATGAAAACCTTTTGCAATCAGACGACACACTTGAACTTCGAAATTTTTCCTCCCCAGAATTCTTTAGCATTTCATAAGCGTTGGAGCCACCAGATTTCTCGGCTTTAAGCTCAACATGTCCAAGGCCAAACCCTTTTTCAGACATTTTACATTGAGTTCCAAGTGTATTATCTGGCTCCTCAATGCCAGAACTAGAGGGCTCTTCTGGATCTTGCACAGTTATCTAGCCAAACACAGTTTATTTAGAAAACTCTTAATGTGAAGTTAATTGTAATACATGTAAAAATAATACCTGTATGACAACATCAGAATCACGATAACGTGGACGCCTTCCATCTGTAGATGGCTGACGCTCAACATAGCTATCTTCTACATGGATGGCTTGACCAATTTGCTGAACAAAAGACATGAGTGAGCCACTTATGGAGAATCATACATCATGAAGCACAAGATGGAAAACGACTATTTCTTTTTTTTTAAAGAATAATATTTGTAAATGAGCAAATAGAAAAAAAATTGGAGGACAAGTCGCACTAATAACAGCAAAAAATAGATTACATAGTGAACAAACAACTATCCTGATGGTAAAACTGCAAAACAAGTTAACAACAATAAGGGTGAAGTATATTTAGGGAACTACACCTTTTTGAACTGCTTAGTAGCAAAATCTGACTCATGAGAAGTAATTTTTCTAAGCCCACTGAGGGTGGACTCTGCTTCAACAAATCCTTCAGACTCTAATTCCTTAGTAGCTCCAGCTTCAGCTTTCTGATTACAAGCAGAAGAAAAGCTCAAAACCCCAATCAGAGTAGCTTCAAAAGTTCTAATGCAACACAAATCCTACCAGCTTGAAGCTGTTGTTAACTTTGTTTCTGGTCTGACTGGTCGTTTGATGACGTAATTGATCCTACACAGTCAATTAAGGTCAGAAATCCCTTCAGGAAGTCATAAATAAAATAAAAACAATTAAATAAAAATCAAGGCTTCAGAAACATAAGTCCTGTTTGAAAAAGAAGGAATGTGTCACAAAATAGTAAGGGTGATAAACGGCCTGACCATCTCAAATGCATAAGGAGTTTTTCATAATCAGATAAACATGCATGCTGGCTGATCTCAGACAAGAGAAGTAGAAATATAGCCATTAACAAGTAAAGGTCAAAGCTGTAAAGGATACTTCCATGCGGAAAAGTTCCTAATTTGGAAATTAAGATCGATATCCATAAGATCACTACAAGGACAACAACTGGGCCAATTTTTTTAAAAAGCCCCTATTCTGGGGATGAAGAGGGTTCTTATTTGGCAGTAGAGCTCAGAATTACCCACCAGTGAATGACAAAAGTTTCTCCAACTTTCCTCATCAAAACCAAAATTAAAGTAGTCTGTTATATCAGCTCCAGGATGTGTCCATGACTTCTCCTCTAACGTATCAATGTCCACATCTACAATAGTTCTGAAAAACAATAGCAAGATGTCCACATTTTCTTAGAAAAAAATACAACAGGCAAATTAGAACCAAAAAGGCAGCATCAAGAGAAATTAATATGAGTAGCACATGGTGCCAGGGGAAATTTCCGAAGCAACAGACAGTACAAATCTCTCTTTATCCCCTCGACCAAAAAAGAAAGAGTGGAAGGGGGTGAGACATTGCCGTTCACCAATAAAATACTTTACAATTTATAGTCCCTTGTATTGAGTTCAGCACAAACAAAGACTATTCAAAATATTTTTTCCATTTGCGCTTACCTATACCATGGAAGCCAAAAATTATTTCCATTGCCAGAAAAACCGTGAACAAATCCTGACATTGTATTTTGACCACACCAAGCATCCTCTCTGTTGAGTTTCCCAGAGCATATAACTCGTTGATTTCCCGCATAGACCGAGCCATATTTTCTTAGATACTAAGAATTAACAAAACATGAAATCAGCTTCTAACACAGAGATTATCCATCTACAGTACAAAAGAACATCAATACAAGTATGGGTAAAAAAGGATAACAACTGACGAGGCATCTAAACAGATTTGTCCTCTTATTATCTTTCAAATGCAATACACAGTTTCCATGTCAAAATTCAACTCAAAGCCCACTGAAGAGTGAAGACAGAGCAATAAATCAGTAAAGGCAGCTGATAACATTTCACGACAAAGTACATTACCTACACCTATAAGCCCAGATCGATTTCAAATGACTGCACCCTGATGTGTAAACGACTCAAAAAAAGAAAAAAGGGCAATCATGACCTGAATATAGGCTATAAATGGAAGAAAATATAAGCTCTAAGCTACCATTCACCTAACTCTCCAATATATAGGAGACTAACACTACTTTTCCATATATTCAACAGCACTGTAAACTACAACTTCCTCACAATTGATGAAGGGCATGTACAAAGTTGAGTTATGTATGAACAGATTGATCAAGTGAAATTTTTTTTTTACCATGACACTAGAGTGATCACATGAATTGAACCCGAGTATTAATTGTTATCTATCTCATTTATAATTGCCACTGCAATGTGGTATATCACTTCAAAACACCAATGAAATTTTATTAATCCGTCTAAATATCAATGTGACAACTAACAACAAATATGTGCATAACCTCAAGATACAACTAAAATGATCAATGCACTACATCAACTATGAATAATAACTTCATAAGCAAACAACATACGAAAACCATGCCGTTGATCAAATCATATCGCTTCTCTCATTTATGTAACTATAATCTAATTGCAACATCAGATGGCTTTTCTCTTATGGTGTACAACTGAATTCAATGAAATTTAAATAATGCAAAACAGTTAAGAGACATCTCCATACAAGCAAATAAAACTAGCATTCATATCAATTCAAATGCAATCGAATACACGTACCGTGTGTTGCGAATTGCAACCATTTTTCCCTACATTCCCTATCTCCCCACCACAATCACCGCCACTCGGCTCCGTTTTATCAACATCAATCCGCATTGTCTTCTTTCCCGGCAAATTCCCCTCCGAAACTCCGGCAACAAACTCAGCCTCCGTACCATCCTCCGCCTCCTTGCGACAATTCCTCCCATCTCCACCTCCCTTCTTCGGTCCGATATCCTCGTCATTGACAACCACATCAAAATCATCACCATCATCATCAGTATCACTGTCACTATCATTTTCCACTCCAAAATCACTAACCATTAATAGCCATTTCATAATTCTTCTCACTCATCTCACCTCCTCCATTTCCAGAATCAATCTCTCTCTTTTCATCCACTCCCACCTCATTGCTATGCTCCTGCTGTTGCTGGTTTTTCTGCATTTGATAAAAATCTGGTACTCCATTGATTGCAGAACTCGTATGAACTTCAATGTCGGCGTATAACTCGCCGAAATCATCGCCGATATCTTCCATGATTATGGAAGAATTAGTTCTTGAAAATAGGAATCATCCGATTACAGAATATGAAGATGAAGGGTTGAATGAGAAAGATAGCAGGAAGATGATTAGGGGTTTATCTAGGGTTTTAGTGTTTTACCTTAAACCCTACTTAAAATTTCAGGAATGAAGAGGGGTAATTTGATAATTTCATTGAGCGGGTCTGAATCAATTCCACATTATGCCATTAGTAGAAGCTACAAATACCGATGATACGTAAATCTAAATGCAATCGAGTAAAATCGTATTCTCTTATAGACTTGCACACTTTATTTTAAAAAAATATACTCCGTAATATTTAGTAAATAAGTTCAATTCAATAAAAATAAGTTCAGTTTAATAAACTTAAGTTTAGTTCGGTAAAAAATAAGGAGTAACTTTAAAAAAGAAAATTAATTTCAGTTTAGTAAATTGATTAAAATAGTCATCAAGTGAGGAGGCTTTTTCATGTCCTAAGATAAAGCAGTGACTTAGATAGTTTAGACTTTGAGTTAAAATTACATTACAAAACTCAAAAGCAAAAAGGTAAAGAGAACTTAAAACAATGTCAACCAAAAACATCCAGTTTACCTCTACATTAGTCTACATAGCTCACTTTTTCTATCAATAATCCATTAATCATCCATATTGACATGGCCTTCACCTTATCTTGCTGCAATTTACTCTTCCTCCATAACCAACAAGGTACTTTTCTACTTACTTCCCCTCTTTCTCTCTCCTCTCTCTTTTTCTTCAACTAGTTTCCTCAAATCTTACCTCAAAATTCAAACTTTGGTTTTTGTAGTGAAAGTGAGTAATCATGTCAGCAGCAACAACAACAACCTAAAAAGTGTCAAAAACCTCGTACTCTCAACTGGGGTTCCTTCAATTGCAACCCCACCTCAAGAATCCCTTCAAAAGGGCAATTGGGTCAAGCTCATTTGTGGTGCTAGCTTTGAGGTACTAATCAATTTCCATCTATTCTTAAACCCTTTCAAAACCCCATCTTTCAATTTGTGGAATTGAACTAATTTGATCATTTTTTTGGTCTGTAGGATGTTGTTGACATAAGGAATCTATCTCTAGTTTACACTCTTGCTGGAGGTACACTATGCTATCACTTAATTACTACCTATGTTACTCGGACTTGGGTACTTGTGTTGAACATGGTTACGTGTCTAAGTGTCCTACTCATGTCGATCCAACACGGATACTTGAGGGAATTGCGAGTTTAAGTAACATAGCTTACTGCTTATGTAATTTGTAATTTGGTTTTAGTTTTGTTTAGTTGTGTTTATTTTTATATATTTTTTCTCTTGGGGTTTATGGTGGCATGTTGTGTTTGTAGTTGATTGTATTGATTGTGCGGCGGATGCATCGGTTGTGAGTGCGGTTAATGAAGGAATTGAAGCAGCCATGAACATAGTGTCACTTCGCCGGCCATGGGTTATGATTAGTGTCAATGATGATGAAGACCTTCATTTTCGTAAAGCTGGTAATTTGTAATGCTTTTATCTGTATATTTTCAATTATTTGCAATTGTAAGGAAGATTGGTACTTGTAAGTGTTGTAACTGTTAAAAAGTTGTGTGTTTTGGTCCTTGATTAAGTTAAGTTAGCTAGTTTAGAAACAATCTAATTCCTAGTTTCAAACAATTTGAAGATTGTGCTAGATAAAAAGTGAACATAATTTAATAGAAGGATGAATGCTATCAAATACAAGAATTATCTCTACAACTTTGAAAAAATAGTGATAATTACTTAATTAGGTTGTAATTGTGATAACTGATAAGAATCTTAAGAGTTAAGATAACGTAGAAGTATGCTAGAAAACACATTTTAGCACGGTTTGAAGGCATTAATTGATGATTGTTTACCAGTACATAGAAACCTGTTTCTTTGTTGTCCTGTCTTCCCTTCATTCCTGTGCCCTCTGATCAATATGGTACTGATTATAACTCCGTGGTTTTATCACCGAGTTCTCATTTGTTGCCATACTGTTGCGAACACTATAATGGTTTCATATAATGTGAGCACAGGAATAGATGTCTTGAAAATTCTAACTTTATTGGCTTTGATAATATATGGTAGCAATGCCAATCATCCCTAGTGAAGCTACTGTAAGAGCCTAGGAGGGGTGAATTCCGTATGCATTTCATTTGACAACTTGTATCTGACTTTTCATTTCACACTATCTATATTGGATTTATTTATCATTTCTGTTGAAATGGGACTATGGTGATAGTATTAGGATGGACACTCTTCGGAAAATGGCTGAATCCCATACCTAGACCGTACCATTCTGATACTAATAACCAAGTCCCTTGAACGAAGCTCGTGTAGGATTGACGACTTTGGGGTTACCCACATTGCAGTAACTTCAGTTATTTAAATATTTAAGTCCTGATATTTCTTCGCTACATCATCACACATTAAGCTAGTTTTTTCGCTTGGTAACATTTCATATTTAACAGCCTTTGATCCATCGGAGTGTCCACTGGATTGCTCGAGACCATGCGAGGCTGTTTGTCCTGCCAATGCTATTGCATTAAAGAAAGGAGACTCCTTGGAGGTATGTCCTTATGCCTAAACAATACTTGTATATATGTTTATCTTGCTTTTTCAAATATTGCAGCAGTTTTTAATCTAAATATTTGAAATACCAATTGACATGCAGGGAGGAGTGATTAATGAGCGATGCTATGGGTGTGGACGTTGCCTTCCAGTCTGCCCATACGATAAAATAAGTGAGTAGTTCTCCATAGGCACTTCGCCCCTGGTCCTTTGTCCTCTTGATTTTGCTGTAGGTAGCGCTCAGACTTGTTCACAGTTCTTCTGTATATTTTCAGCGTTTACTTTGCTATTTATTCATTCATCATTATTCACACATGATTTTTACAGAGGCAGTTACTTACTTGAGAGATGCTGTTTCTACTGCTCAACTGGTCAAAAGAATGTTGATGCTATTGAAATCCATACAAATGGAAGGTAAGCCATGAATTTGTTACATATAGTTGATGTAGTTTCGTGTACAAAGTTCTACTGTGGAGCAACATATTCTCAATTAGTGTATATAAAAAGTCAAGGTGGCTAATGTTTCAATTGTTAAATGGTCTAAAATTAACAAGTAATTTAATGTATCCTCTTCTTTGAAGTTCTCTGAATAAAAGCTTTCCACAAAATGTCCTTTTTCTTTCTTTTGCTTAACCTGCAGTGGTTTTCGGCAGGCAGACTGATTCCTTTAAGGAATTCTGGAATGGGATGGAAGATTCTGTTACCCACCTGAGATTAGTGGCTGTAAGACTGGACATGTTTCTTTCTGCAATTGAGGTCAAGTAATTATGTTTGGTTTCTAATTAATGTTCATTTTCACCTTCAACCACTCAGATAAGCTTACCAGATGTGGGTGAAGCAACTACAACCTTAATGAACACAATTTTCTCAGTCATGAAACCAAATCTGAGTTGCTACAATCTATGGCAGGTTTCTCTTCTCTTTTTCGATCTATCATCAATGTAAACTATTCTGAAGTATTGCATACCATTTGTTGTACTGTTATTACCTTTTTCTGCTGTTCCAGCAACACAGTAATTTTATGCTTAATTCTGGCATTAGTTGGATGGACGCCCAATGAGTGGAGACATTGGACGAGGGGCCACCAGGGAAGTACTTGCTTTTGCCTTTCGCTTGGCTGCTGCAGAGGATAGACCCCCTGGTTTGTTGTGAATTTTATGAACTTTATACCATTTCTTTCCTTTCTTAGTAGCTAATTGATCGTAGCTTCACAGGCTTTCTTCAATTGGCTGGTGGCACTAATGCTCACACCATAAATGGGTTGAAGGAACGGGGACTTTTTCAAACCATGAGTAATATTTTTGACACCTACAAATATGTTATTCTTTATTGGTCTTATTTTCTTTCCTTGATTAAATTGGTTTAACTCTTTCTTAAACTGTTCTTTAGGGAATCCTGAAGATGGGATCTTAACTGAAGAAATACCTGGATCATCACTAATTGGCGGTATAGCATATGGTGGTTATGCTAGGAAGGTACAATTGTATATCTGTCTATATCTCCATGTTTTTCCTTTATACTGCATGGTTAAAACTTGTTGGTTAGCCATCTTTCGCTCTCTATCACACAGAAAGTGAGGTCATCAGCATTCATGCATTCTTTTCACGTTTTCAGATTGTTGGAAGGATATTGAGATCAATGCAGTCACAGCATGGTCTTGCTTATATAGAGGATTGTCCTGCATACCTAAGCGAGGCACTTAGAGAAGCTTTTGCTCTGGTTGGATCGGTCAAATGCTACTCTCAACTTGGCATCCATCAAGAATAATCAAGGTATGTAGTTTCGTATTTTCTCAGCAAATCAATTATGTTCTAACGGCTTATTGATAGTATTCCTGTCACATATAAGGTATTAATTAATAATATAAGCAGAATAACAGCTTACAGGTTCATGAAAGTCAATGTGACTTTAAGCTTGATTATAATCGAAAGATATTGTTATTCTGATTAAACGATGGCCATATTTTTACAGTTTATGAAGCTGTTACTGTCACCTTTGCTCTGATTTAAGCCTGGGAAACTATGAATCAATGATCCTCTAAACTGGATTCAAGTATCGACTTAGGTATGGGTTTATATATCTGACATGGGATATTCTTAAGTTTTACAGTTTGGGGACTCAATTGAGTGTCCTTATGATCGAACACATGGATTGTTATACATGTACATAGAAGTAGAAAAGTATTAATTTTCCTTTCTTTAGCCAAATTTGATGTGTTCAAGTGCACATCAATTATTCCTCATTCCTGTTGGAATATCAAGTACGAATATAAACTTGAGCAAAAATCACAACTCTGAGCATCGAGTTGTGAAACTACTGGAAAATCACAAAATAGAAATATACCAATAGGTCCTCACAATAGAGATTATTGGTAGTTCATATATCCGCATGAATAATAACAAGATGAACATAAGTTTTCTACAAGTGGAATATTGTTTATTGTCTTGGCGCTATATAATCTCTTTATGGATTGATTTTATTAGAAATCTACCAAAATTATATTCAATGGACGACATATATTTTAGGCATGTCATTTGATACAGGAACAGGTAAATGATGCTCCAAAATTCATTGAAAATGAGGCACTTGAGTTCTCTCTTTGTTATATAATAGGGAATTAGGGATAATGTGCAGTTGGATCATGAAGTCTTCATTTAAAAAAAAAATAAAAAAATAGATTTGAAGTTGACGTAACTTTGTATAAAACCATATTCAACTAGGATCCACCTTTTTTTTAATACTTGGTATTAGACTGAATAAGAATACGAAGTATAAGATTACCTTCTTTTTTTTTTTTTTTTTTTTTTTGAGGTAAGCAATTTGGTAGGATGTTGGATTTTTTTATTTTTTTTTTTGGACAAAGGATGTTGAATTTGTTGATTATATATTGATCAATATAAGTTCTGCAAAAGACAATATGGGGATTGCTTCTTTGATTATAACTTCCCAAATCTCTCTTCACAAGATTTTTAATGATTATGATTATGTGAGGGTGTTTATATACTTTTTCCATCAAAAGATAATAATATTGGTATATACACTATACATATCAAAGTATACTTTTTATTTTTTTTGAAACCATATTAAACTATACTTTGTAAAATGTTGTCAAATAATCACTTGCTATTGATTTCGCTTACATATATCAAATTGTTAGGGATATTCAAAGATTTTGTATGTTAAAATTATTTTGAAAAGATCATCTCGTAATTGGCATCGAGGAATAATTTAAATATGGTACAATTCTATTTACTGTACTTGTTAAAACAACAAAGGGTCCATAGCTCAGTGGTAGAGCATTTGACTGCAGATCAAGAGGTCACCGGTTCGAACCCGGTTGGGCCCTTAACTTTTTTTTTTTGGGTTTTTTAAAATATCAAACTTTGAATTAAGTCCCATAATGTTAAAAATTTGTATAATCTATGGTCTATCTTCTATTGCACCATTTTAGCTCTCTGTTTGTTGAAAGGGGCGAGCATTAATTTGGTGGATGCAACTATGCAAGACGATCCAAAATGACTAAATCATGTGTGGTAGAGGATTTAACAAAAAGGAAAGGTTATTGGTAGTTGGATACACATTAAATTACTACTAGTACTACATCATACGACATCATGGATTTCTATTTTTTAGTCATTAGTGTTGCGTAATGTAAACACAAAGACAAGTCTTACTAGATTTCTTATTTTCCTAGTGATCCAGCAACGACTCAATAGTTTACACATACTACGTGAGTAAGCGGTTGTTACGGTATTTCTATAAATAAATAAACGAGTATGAATTGCTCAATTATAGGAGGTTCGAACATTGCTCAAGTTTTATTTTATTTTTTCCAATCAAATGGGCGCAAGTGTGGTTTATTCAATTGCTTACTATTGAAAGGAGTGTGCGTACATAGGTGCACTACTTTGAATAATAATGCTTCGAAATGTATGAAGCAAATGCCAAACTCAGGAGTCAGGAGTGTTGGAAAAGAAGAAAGTCAAGCTCTATGTTGTTGATTTTAAGCTATAACAGTCAGTATGAGTGTTCATTAGTAATTTAGCAGTAGCACTTTAATTAGTATTGTTTTGACTTGGCCAACTACAAAACTATAAATCTTCTTATGAGTAAAACAAAATGGGCTGTAAATTCGATATTGTAGCTTATTCAATAATTTTGATTTTATTAGTCAAATTGAATAAGTGTACAATACAATTTTCCTGATTATTTTTGTTTTTTTGACCAATACATGATTATTAATTATTAGACTAATTTACATAACACTTTGAACATGTATTATATATATCACGAATTCACTACCATACTTATTTTACTTAGGTGAACTAAGCTAAGCAAATGGAATAAGAGTACAATGTATCTTTCATATTTATTTACTAATTAGACTAACTTACCTCGGAAAACTCTATAATCTAATGTAAAAACTTTATCGAGTGAGTTAAACCTTTCTTGGTAAGATCGAGTACAATATAATTTACATGATTATTAATTAATTTAGACTAATTTACATAGTAATATTAGACTTTCATACACTATATTAAAACATAGAGAGTGTAGTATATTCCTATTTATAACTAAAAAAAAAAAAAAAAAAGTTTATAAAATATCACTAAAATTATTGCACTATTACTATCAAAATTTGTACTCTATAACAATAACACTAATTCAAAGGGTATCTAATAATATTGCTCATGTCAATTACGATCACCTTAGTTATAATCGTCTTATATCTTCTCATATAAAATCCAAGAGTTTTATCAAGATGAAATAACCGTTTCTTTTAATAGGTTAGAACAACGACCGTCGAATAAGCTTGAACAATGATTTTGATAAATTTACAAGTCATTAAAAGTGTATAAGTATATGTCATAAAATTTAAGTAAACCATTGAAGGTTTCAATTAACCTAAACATGTGTAGTCTATGAATTATGAGTGTATTAATAATACTTAAGATTTTACCATTTTTTTTCTCACCTCTTTGGCTTTTTGCATGTCTCTTGAAGACTCAAATTCGAGTTACGTTGGTAATCTTTGCCAACGGCGGCATGTGAGACACGAGGGTGATTATTGGAGCGTGCAATAATATAACACGAGGTGCACGAGGAGAGTGGGAGACTATCCTTTCGAGACTATTACATTAATTTATTATATGTTGGTGAATAATGACATAGAATATACCATAAATCCGTAATTATATTTTTTAAATCAAAACTATGATCCTCGTATCTTTATACAATTATACATGCTCGTTTTAGTCGTGTTGTGATTCATTGTTGTGTTCAATTATTATTATTATTATTATTATTATTATTATTATTATTATTATTATTATTATTTTTATTTATGTGTAACAGCGAACTAATGTATTACAACTTAAAATGATTTTGGACTTTTGGTGCATTGTGTGAACAGTATAGGGGTATAGCTAACTTATGTTTGAATTATATTGTTAAGAAAACTTTGTAAGATTGATTTAACTTAAATTAAAATAACTTGACTTGAACCTATGCAATCCAAAATATAAACATACTTTAAAAGCTGGTTTTATATTCAATGATATAGTATACAAGTTTACAAAAGACCTAGTAATCTAGTAATCATCATAATTATGAATTTACAATATGTGTAAGTGAACCACAAAACCAATATATATTAACAACAATACACATATGGAGTTATACAAAGTAAGATATAAATATCATCTAGAATGGCATACATAAAACTTATAAAAATATGTGTATTGTAAGAAGATTACGTAGATTAAGCAACTCATTACCAATGATGTGAAACTGAATCATCTAGTTAATTAATGGGTACTGCTATATGTAACCCTTAGGGTTACAAATAAGCATTAAATATCTTTTCTTTTTTAGTACTCGTATTAGGCCCTGTTTAGTTCACCTTAAAAAAAATAATATTCCATAAAGATAATTTCAGTTCAGCAAAAATAAGTTTAATTCAGTAAAAATAATTTCAGTTCAGGAAAAATTAGTAACTCTAAAGAAAAAATATAATAGAGAATCAGTAAAAATAATTTCAGTCCAGCAAAATTAATTTCACTTCAGGAAAAATAATTTCAGTTCAGTAAAAATAATTTCCGTTCAACAAAAATAATTTAAATTCAGTAAAATTAATTTCAGTTCAGCAAAAATAAGGTGAAGTGAACAGGGCTTTAGTTTATGAATGCATGACAAAATCACGCGCAAATTAGTGTAATTAATAAATATATTTCATTAACACATTTTTCTCTTTTAGCTTCTTATACATAAACCTAAGGGATATATATAGCATTTTTCCTAATTAATTTGTCTCCAAATATTTGAATATAATCATCTTTTATTCGAAGCATTTAGTTACGTAAGTATTGATATCCTGGAAATAATATCAATTGTGAATTTGAAACATAAACTTACTTCGCTAAGGACTTATGAACGAAAAAAATATGAATAAAGGAAATGCAAGCATGCTACGGAGTACAAATTGTCGTCAAAATTAATATTCAATGTTTTGTCACACTTCGTACATATATAGTGACAATAGAATCGTAAAGGAAAAAGACATGCAAACACGTAGTTTTCTTGGACATTTTCAAATCATGGAGATCATGAGATTCATGACAATATAGAAATTGAAAATGGTTTAAGAAATCAAATACGGAGTATAATTATATTAGGAGTATTAGTATATTAGGTGTATTATCTTTCTAATTTAATTTGTAGTCTTAAATTTTAAAATAAATATACTTATGATCCAAATACATAAACAAATCAATTTTATAGTGGTTCGCTGTAAATTGTGAAGACCTCTGATCTTAGAATTGAGTTTTAAAATGAATTATTAATGTTAGAATAATTTTAAAAGGCCAAGGGTCTAAAATTGTGTTTAGTTCTAATGTTATAAAAACAATCATACAAAGAACTTTTTTAGTTGTTTTCCACTTTAGTCACTCCGTTCTTCCTTGATCTTTCTACTTTTTTACTACACTTGCTTTGTTAAACCTTTTTACTCCGTACTATTTTTTCTTTTTCTTTTTCTTTTTTTTAAAAATTAGTACATGCTAAAAACTTGTCTCATTTAAGAAACACACAAAAACTTAAACATCCTCCATTTTTCTATTTGAATTTTGAAGCGTTCTAGTTTATATGCTTCATTTTCTTATTACTCCGTAACAAATTTTTATACAACCTCCGTTAAATGTTATGTGCAACTTTGAAATATTTTATATCTCACAAATAATACCCCAAAATTGCAGATAACATTTAACGTAGGTAGTAGTACTTTTCATGTTAGAATTTTGACAACATGAGATAAAATTTAAAAAAAAAAAAAAAATTGAAACCGATTATCAATAATAATTCATATTAGCGGCATAAAATAATCTCGTGCTTGCTACTCCGTCTAATGCAAGTAAATTAGAATGAAAGAAGTAATAAGATAGCCATCTCATATATACTTGTCCCATTTAACATTATAATACTCGTAAGAATTTATTAAATTGATTAGAACAAGTAAAATGAGATTGATCGAGTATAAAAAGAAGTCGCAATCTTAAGTTATGACCCTCCGATTCACCTACCCAACCCCCAACGGCCCAGCGCACACCAAAATTTTTCTCTTGGGCAAGTCCTGAACTGACAAATGAGACAATCAAAATTTCTACTCAAACTTGTGAGCTAACTACCACAGCATGTAGTACCACTGTACCAGTACCATCTGCCACGTGATAATTTTTTTTTTTTTTAATCTTATCTCACGTTGCCAAAATTATTCTGACAGGAATAGTACTGTAAAAATTTGCACCATATAATTTACAGCTTTAATTACTTGATTCTTCAAATCTTTCACTAATTATGTATAGTCTATTCATGGTTGATGGCTTCAGCATACAAGTATAAATAAGTAAATTATTGATTCTACTTGATTAAGGTTCAAAGTTTGCTTATGTAAGTGAATAATTATCAAAATTAATCAACTACTTTGACATTGACAAAATAATCTTATATGAAGTACTCCATATTACTTAATTTTAAAAAAATATGATTAAAAGCTTCGTATATTTGATTCAATATCACAATATGTAATACTTATGTAAAACAAAAATAAAAAATAAATAAATGTTTCATTGACTAGTATTCATAATCAATCAATATTTGATTGCTATCATATGTAATACATGTATTTGCACGTCAAATATAAAATGCCTTTCGAGATACATAAATTTTCTTTCCTTTCCTTTTTTGTGTAAATGAGTTTTGAGATATCATGCACTTATTAAAATTGTACTTTATAGGATTAAACTGATACATTATTTTATTGATTTTAGTTTAGGTTGTGTGACAAAAAACATTATGCATGCATATATCAATGTAACATAATATTGATTTAAATTTAAATTCTCATCGACCTTTATCTCTATATACAAGTTTGTGCATGGGATGCTTATATTAGTTTAGTTATGGATTGTGATTCATTCCGATTGAATTACTATTCTTACTTGGGTACTTTCTAGAAAAAATACCAACAAGATATCAATAATAAAGATCTTATTTAATTAGCGATATTCCATCACAATGTAAGCAATATCGAACTTTTGAGTAAAGTATCCATGTCATGCACAAGTTATCGAGATTATCCATACAAAACCTATTAATTTTGTTGCCATTTTTCATCGATTGTAAATAATACTTTGTATTTAAATAACAATTGCGGACATTCTTCCTTTATTGGGTGGATTAAGTTAAAAGATGTGGTTATTTTGTTGCCAATTTCACAGATCACATTTGATACTCCGTATCTGAATAACAATTACATACAGTTTCTTTTTTTTGGGAGGATTAAGCTGAAAGATGTATTTGGTAATTTAATTAACTGAATCAACAAAATTAATTTAGATTAATAGATAGAGTTTTAAAGGCCTCACCAATTCAATCATCTTACACTTTTTATGATCAATCAAACAACGAAAAGACAGAGTATAAATAAACTTCACAACCCGAAATCTGGAGTACGAGTAATTAAAAACACGATATTTCCCTCGTTCTCCCCGTTCATCATCCCTTCCTCACTCCTCAACTGGTCGCTGGTCAGAAAAATATAACCAATCGAATTAATTTTCTCTCTCTTCAACGACTATAAAATCACTAATCTACCATTCTCAATTTCCAATAACACTTCTTTGTTTTCTTCCTCTCATTTTCTCTCTCCTCGTTTTTCCCCTTTGATCCAGGTTTGATTTTTCCTCCCATTTATTATTTCTCATCTTAAATTCCGCTTTTTTATGCTATTAATTTCATACAAATCATTTGTTTTCGGCTCACCTAATCGTATGATTTCATCGCAGATCTAGATTTTCGCTTGGTTGGTAGTTAGTTAGGTCATATGAATTCATGATTGTTTTGCGTAATTTAGAAATTAAGTAGTTGGAGATCTGTTATGTGTTTGTTCACCTACATTTGCCTTGATTTTTAGGTAGTATCGATTAATTTGATGCGGTGTACTTTACATTTGATCTGTTTTGGTTTCTGATTGCTGAATAGCTTCTGTGATTTGTGTATGATCCTTTGTTGAGGAGTGAGTTTCGAGGTTTTAAGAGTTTTTAATCGGTGTGTGTTTGTGTTTTATGATGATGTAGATGGGATTTGATCTCGGGTTTTGGGTTTTACTCCTCTGGACTTTGATTGAATAAGCTAGTTGAGATCAAATCTATAATGTATATATTTTGTGTTAGTGAAGTTATTGGGGTTGTGATCGTTTATTTATTTGTTGTATTGTACATTGTATTAAGATCTTATATTATATTAAGCTATGGTGTATTTGTTCATGAACTTGTTGGGTAATGTTATCATTGCAGTTTATGTTCTTTAAAGATGTTTTTTTGATTGGCCTTCTTAGCTCTTTTTAATTATTAAGATCTTATAGTGTATTAAGTTATGGTGTATTTGTTCATGAACTTGTTGGTTAATGTTATCTTTGCAGTTTAAGTTCTTTAAAGATGTTATTTTGATTGGCCTTCTGAGAAATTTATGATTCGTCAATTTGGGATGATACACTTCGGATTTTGATCTATGAGCTTGTGTTCTTGAGGGACGTAACTCTGTTGAGAGTCTAGAATTTTAGAACTAACAAATGCTGTTATTAATTTTAGTATGAAATGATTGTCTCATGAATAGATGACGCGCAATATTTTGAAGGGGGATAATTGCATAAGAAAATTGCAACTTTGCAATTAAAGTTCTGTTCTTTCGGGAAATGGACAATGTTTTTTAGGAAACCCAGAAAAAATGTGGGATCCGGAGTAATTGTAAGGATAGTGCATATTTATATTTTTGAGTGGTAGTAGAAAACTAGACATATTGTTAAATTGGAAAGGTGTCATTTTTTTTAGCATTCTCATGACAATCTCAAGTATGAGTGTACTTTGAAGTTTATAATGATCTTGTTTTCATTTTGTCTGAAATGTAGTATTCTTTTCTTCTCTCGTTGGATGATGTAAGAATTTGCTGTTGGATCAGTAGCTTACCGCGTTAATGATCCTGTCTGTTTTCAGGCCTGGTTGAATCTGCAACATGGCCACCGGTCAGATATTCTCGAAGACTACACAAGCACTATTTTATAATTATAAACAACTTCCTATCCAGCGGATGCTTGATTTTGATTTCCTCTGCGGTATATTTACTCCCTTATTCCTTTATTATGTTCTCTGTAAAGGGAGAGATCTATTTTTGAATGATTGTTCTTATGTAATTATTCCTTTGCATAGGGAGAGAAACACCATCTGTTGCTGGAATCATCAATCCTGGTGCTGAGGGATTTCAGAAATTGTTCTTTGGTCAGGAAGAAATTGCCATCCCAGTACATTCCACGTATGTGTTCTTGCCACTCATATATACTCACTATTGGAATAAAATTGGTTATGAATTTTGGATTTTATCTTCATAGCGGTATTGCTAAATTTGATGAACAGTATAGTTGGTCAAGGATGGTCAACAGTCACATCCTTGAAAATGAGAGTTTAGTAATTAAAAGTGGAAAGGTTCAAGGGTATAACAGCTTCATGAGGAAATTGCTAAATTTGAAGATCGTTATTAGTATAGTTGGTTAAGGATGGTTTGTAGTTACATCCTTGAAAATGAGAGTTTAGTGAATCAAAAAGTGGAAAAGTTAAAGGGTTTAGCTTCATGGAAAAGCATCCTTTTGTAAAATGTCTGGTTTATTATGCTTTTATACTAATTTAAATCAATGTATATGATCACTATTTTTCTAAAGACTTACAACTCCAACATAAAGTATGACTTCTTAGGCTTCCGCTGACTAGATTCTAGTTATATGCTCACGGTAATATAATTAATTAATTATATGAAATCAAAAACCAGCAACTGTTTACTTTGTCAGCCTACTTTGCATCGAGAATCGTATTTTAGTTGTCCCATCAGACTTGATTATTGATTAGGGTCAAAGTGCGGTCATTATCAGACTTGAAACATAGAATATATGATGTGGGTAGGATATTTCATGGATGTGGACTTTTTTTGGTGATTAATTCTCAAACTTGGATTGAGGAACATATCAGTTGGTGAAATCATTAGCAGCGTCATGTGGCTATGAGTAATTGTATTTTCCAATTTGTAAGGACTTTTGTTTATTATTCATTTTTTTTTTTTTTTTTTGTTGGCTCTTTGATTTGATGTATCAGTTTGTCACATGGCCGTCAAATAGTATATACTATCATTTTCAATAAATACTGATGAAGTTCTGACATTGTGGCTTTTGTTGGTCTGAATGGAAGTGAACAAAATTCCTTATCCTTTGTTGGCTCATTTGGATTTCCTTTATTTTTTGCAGCATTGAAGCAGCTTGTGCTGCACATCCTACCGCTGATGTCTTTATTAATTTTGCTTCTTATAGAAGGTTAATTTCAGTTCCTCTTCTGTGTCTCTTCAAATATTCAATAATTGAGTTGTAGTCTCACTTTCTCTTTTGAACTGTAGTGCGGCTGCTTCTTCCATGTCAGCATTGAAACAGCCAACCATTAGAGTGATTGCTATTATAGCCGAAGGTGTTCCTGAGTCGGACACCAAGCAGTTGATCGCATTTGCTCGGGCCAACAATAAGGTAACATCTTAATTTTTTGGCTCATAAAGTTGATATCTTCTCTACTATTATGATCATTCTGCATAAGATTCAGCTACTAATATGTTTCGTTTATTGTTTGGGGCTTAAGATTGTTATTGGTCCTGCTACTGTTGGAGGTATCCAAGCTGGAGCCTTCAAGATTGGTGACACTGCTGGGACTATTGACAACATTATCCAGTGCAAGCTTTACAGGCCTGGATCTGTTGGATTTGTTTCTAAATCGGTAAGTGGCTTGAAAAGTTTCATCTGTGCAGTTCCAAGGTTCTTGATAGTACAGCTTTATGTTCTGGCCTTAGTTTAAAGTTCCATGATCAATTTTCACTGTTGCAGGGTGGCATGTCTAATGAATTGTATAATACAATTGCACGTGTAACCGACGGACTATATGAGGGTATTTAATTCTTTTAACATTTTTTCCATTTTCATTTCATAGCTCATAGACTTCAACTAAATGTCTTTAAACTCTCTCTTAGGTATCGCCATTGGAGGAGATGTGTTTCCTGGATCAACTCTGTCGGATCATGTGTTGAGGTTTAACAACATCCCACAGGTACCAAATAAATTATTTATACATCTTTATGTGAAGAGTTTCATCCTAGTTATACCTGCTTGTTTAGTTGAAAAGCTTTAATCTCTATTGCATTCTTAGATGTAGCATAATCAACAGAGGTCACCCCTGCCAAGGTGACAACTTGAGCAGAGCTTGAGTCAGCGTCTAGCAATAGTGCTGACTTGAGTTCAAGTCAAGCTCTAGCTTGTAGAAATTGGAAAATTTATTGGAAAATTTCGGATCTGCTCTTGCAACACGAACTTGAGCTTGAGTAACAGTTGCAGCATATCAAATACTTTTTCAGATTGCCACATATCTATTGTTGATTTTCACTATTAACTTGATATCCTTCAAAGCAAGTAATGAAATTATATTTTCTTATTCATGTATATTATAACTCATATATTCTTTGATGAAATTTGAGCTGCTTATGAGCTTATTAAGCCAAAATTAGGTTTACTCAGCTCTGTTTGTTTGCCTTGTTATGGGTCTGTGTTGAGTTCAAGCTTGAGTCGTGTTCGCTTGACCATTCTTTGGCCAAGAAAAACTTGCGTATTTGGAGATAATGATGGGGTCATTGTTTCACATGAGTAGGCTTAAAGAGATTAGGTTAGGGCAAGTTGGATGGAGTGATATTGGATTGAGGGTTTGTGGTTTGTTTTTTTCATCATGCTGAGATGAGCTTACTAAAACTGTATCATTATGTTTTGGAAGGGGGGTTAGGGGTGGGGGGGTGGGATAAGGAATTAATTCACAACAAGGATCACTTTAATAATTTTTTTGTGTAACCTGCCCTTTGTACTTTCGGCTTATCCTACCCCACAACACAAGCCATGAAATAAAGTTGGCCCTTGGAGCTACTCCATTTACACATATATAGACCTCCAAGGCACAGTATCCACTTGCCCTTATAATCTTATTTATGCTGCCATTTTGAAAATTCTCTCTCTAAGCGGTATACTCCATTGTCTGACAGACTGCAAGTGATTACTTGCCCTTATAATCTTATTAACGCAGCCTTTTGTGTAAATTCACTCTTGCTAAGCAGTAATACTTTGACGTTCAACAGATTTCAAGTGCTTCTTAGCATTTTAAATCTTTCTTACATGATAAATTATCAGGCACCCTCATTTGATATACATCTTGATTTTTGATAGTACACTTAAAACCACCTAATCCATATACCTTTCTTTGGTCAGAGATTCCAGAAAGGCTTTAACATAGCTGCTTGATTTCAGTAACCTGAATGCACAAAATTTAATCCCCCGGTAGCCGTGGTAATGACGTAGTTCATATATGATAACACCACAAGGCAACTTTTTCCTCATGAGTGTCTTCACAATAACAATTAATTAAAGAAAATGGAGTCAATTACACTTGGTTTTGAAGTCTTGCTGCTTCTAACTCATCTCTATGCTCTTGTATCTATTTAATATGCATTATAAATTGTATGTGCGCTTGTGCTGCACTGCTGCTTGTGTTTTCTAGTTATTTGACTCTGACCCTTTACCATGCAGGTTAAGATGATTGTTGTACTTGGAGAGTTGGGTGGACGAGACGAGTACTCCCTTGTTGAAGCCCTGAAGCAAGGGAAAATAAGTAAGCCAGTTGTTGCTTGGGTCAGTGGAACCTGTGCTAGGCTCTTTAAATCAGAAGTACAATTTGGCCATGCTGTGAGTTCCTGTTTGAATATCAAATTGATCTTACAGCACATTAAATAAAGCACAACTAGATTACTTATGACTTTGTTACATTAGGGTGCAAAAAGTGGTGGTGAAATGGAGTCTGCCCAAGCAAAAAATCAAGCATTGAGAGAAGCTGGAGCTGCTGTTCCTGACTCTTACGAAGCATTTGAGGGTGCTATCAAGCAGACTTTTGACCAATTGGTTAGGATATCACAATTTGTAAAAAAAATTTATTCTGTTGTAAAATGCCTTCATCTTCCTGTTATTCTTCCCATACTAATTTACTACATTTGCTATCCCCGTGGTAGGCTGAAGAGGGCAAGATTGCACCAGTGAAAGAATTCACACCTCCACAAATACCCGAGGATCTTAACTCAGCAATTAAGAGCGGAAAAGTCCGTGCTCCAACTCACATTATCTCCACCATCTCTGATGACCGAGGTATGTTGCATCACTTAAATTTTCACCAAGTATTGAAATGCTCTGTAGTTTGGAAAAATTCAATTGCGCTTGGGTCTGATTTTCTATGTTGTTTTATATTTGTTTTCTTAGGCGAGGAACCATGCTATGCTGGTGTTCCTATGTCATCTATCATTGAGCAGGGCTTTGGTGTTGGCGATGTCATTTCTCTGTTGTGGTTTAAGCGTAGTCTTCCTCGTTACTGTACTCATTTTATTGAGGTCAGTATATAGATTAATTCTTATGTTTCTTCATACTCTCAACATCCCAAAAGAGGTTGTTCATTTTGGAATTTGTTTTGTAAAACATGATGATTAACAAATTGCAAAGTGTACAGGTTTTCTGGAGGGTATTATCATGTTTTCTTATGGAAGCAAAGTCCTTATTTGTGACTTACTACTATGTTTGTTTTGTTTATAGATTTGTGTTATGTTGTGTGCCGACCATGGTCCATGTGTGTCTGGTGCTCACAACACAATTGTAACAGCAAGAGCTGGAAAGGACCTTGTTTCTAGTCTTGTTGCAGGTAATATGATCCACTCTTGTATGGTTCATCATGATGTTTGCTTTTAGTTTGAATACATTGATTGCAGGTTATGTAGCGAATACATACTGAATGAGTGAGTTGAAAATCCACTGCTAGGTTTGCTTACCATTGGACCTCGATTTGGTGGGGCTATTGATGATGCTGCACGATACTTCAAGGATGCATATGACCGGGTAGGTTTCATGGTCGTTAGTGCCTGCATCGGTCTTATCTTGTTGTAACTCTGAGTCTGAGATTGTTTTGTTTTTTCTTTCCAGAATTTGACTGCCTATGAGTTTGTCGAGAGTATGAAGAAGAAGGGCATTCGTGTTCCTGGAATTGGACACAGGTAAGGGCATTTTTCATTGCTTTACCTTCTTAAGCTCCATATGATTGACATGAGAGTCAATGCTTCTTAATTTTCATTGTTATTTTATTATCCGTACTTAAATTCAAGTGTGTGCTTATTGTGGAGCTTTCTGAAATTTCTGTGTTGTTTTGGAACAGGATCAAGAGAGGGGACAACAGAGACAAGAGAGTAGAGCTCTTGCAGGAATTTGCTCGTACACATTTTCCCTCTGTCAAATACATGGAATATGCTGTTCAAGTTGAGACTTACACCCTTTCAAAGGCCAACAACTTGGTTCTTAATGTTGATGGTGCTATTGGGTCACTCTTCCTGGATCTCCTATCTGGCAGTGGAATGTTCACAAAACAAGAGATTGATGAGATTGTTGGGATTGGTTATCTGAATGGACTCTTCGTGTTGGCACGTTCGATTGGTCTGATTGGGTAAGTTCTTATTTTCCTTTTGGTCCATCTTCCAATTGACCTGTAATCTGGGTCAGTTACATCTGTTAGTTTCAATGTCTTACATAGTTACATTTGTGGTTTCTTCTACAAATAAATATACGATTATATGTCTTTGCATTAGTTCATAGTAAGTAAGAGCATAATTGATTAAGATTTGGAATTATATGACATGAAACTGATGGTATCATTGGGAATCCAGGCACACCTTTGACCAGAAGAGATTGAAGCAGCCACTATACCGCCACCCATGGGAGGATGTTCTTTACACAAAATGAAGTGGTTCCTGATAACAGGGGTGGATGCAGATTCTTGGGAGGACGTTGTCTACACAAAACATACTGCTTTCTTCAATCATTCTTTTCCATTATGTTCTACTCTGGGGTGATTTTAGGTTTTTGCATTTCAGGAAATCTTTTTTTTTTTATTTTTGGTCAAAGTTAGTATTGTATGTACTGATTATTCCCAAATTTGGACTTTTTATTTGAAGTCTCGCGGGATTCTTAGATTGTAAGCCAATATCCATCCTCCATTCTTTTGAATTGAATCCCTTCTCATATTATACGTATTTCTTTTAGATTATGTGTTTAAAGGTTAATACACATTAAGGATTTTATCTTGTAATTGTAACTTTGTTGTTTTGTAGTGACTAATAGCAAATAATGGAAATTTAGAGTGACAGGTAATATTGCGTTTGTAGTCCAAATTGCCAAATATTATGAAAATCAGGTTCAAGAAAAGAATTTTGTTTGAGCAGTCACTTAATTCGTGAATTTATTTATTTTTTTTAAAAAAAAAAAACAAATAGAGAACCAAAGTTTGAGACCAAAAGAGGTCAACAGAGGCTGCCATGATGCAAAATAGGAGAAGATTAGCAATCATGGCACCCAAAAGGAACTGAACTAGAAAAAACAAAAAAGTAGGTGATAACAAAACAGGCCTTGTTCACCTTTTTATTTATTTTTTTATTTTGACAAATAGGCCTAGTTCTCTTCACATTTTACTAAACCTTGTATATTTCTTTTTTTTTTTTCTTTTTTGGACACTTGATATTTTACTGAACTTTAATTATTATAGTTGACTTTAAATTATTTTTATAAAAATTAAATTACTATTAATTCATTATTATATCCATTCTTTAAAATTGTGGATGTGTACTTATTAAATTTAACTCACTTAATATATTTTTCCCTTTAAATTATTTTTCACTAAACATAGGGCTTCAATTGGTTAATACTCCATTACTCCTTTTCTTATTACAATTAGTGTCACTCTATCTGTAACCTTTTTTTAATCATGAATACAGCACAAGCACAATTTATTTTTCTCTTTAATTATTCTAATCGAAATTAATTCATTTTTGTTAGTTTTAATCATATAAAACCATAGGACGATAATTCTGTAGGCAAAAATTACTTAAAAATCTGAAATGTTAAAGGACACAAACATATCAGAAATATGACTAAACAACTAATTAGATTCTTCAATTGACATGACAACATCTTTAACCTCAAAATATCATATACAGGTTTGTTTTTTTGTTTTGTTTCGTTTTTTTTTTTTTTTTTTTTTTTTTTTTTTTTTTTTTTTTGTTGACAGGAAAAGTTATTATTGAGTAAGATAAGGTTATCTATAGTTGTTATAATAGAAGAAAGATAAGGTTATCTTATACATTTTACAAACGTGGGATAGTAACAATTTTATGTCCATGTTGATACATACACAACTTGTGTACTAATTAACCTTTAACTATCTTCATTAAAAGGGGGTAAGGATTTACCATATATTTTGAATTTTATTCTCTAATTTATCTATACCTAGTATTCAATTATTCAAATTAAACCACAAATCTCTATCGTTATTGGTCCATTTTTCTTTTAATTTTATTTTTTCTTTTTATCTTATTTATTACTTTGTATCTATCTATTTCTAAAGTATGGTTTTGTTCCAAATTTAATAAAGTATTTTTTTTTCCATACCCTCGAGACCTTAACAACTTAGTTTCATAAATTTTACAAGTATGTTTAATGTTAATACCTTAGCCCACTTGGTGATGACAAGGTGTGATACGAAGGGTTGTAATGAATACGTATGTTTGGGTCCGTTGTCCCAAAGTCTATTGACTTTGACGGGCCTTGATCTATCTTAATATACGCCGTGCCGTTTGTCCTCAAAAAAAAAAAAAAAAAAAAAAAAAAAAAAAAACTTATCTCTCCTCTCGAGCTATTATTATTTGACCAATAAGAAAAACATACAATAAAAGAACATATTATATTTTTTGGATTTTAATATTATATACTTCCTCCATTTTTTTATAGTTGCAATAGTTTGACTTTTACACTATTTATGTGTTGCACTTTGGCTATCTTTGATGATTTATAGCTATGCAAAAATATAGTCATATGGGATTTTGTTTGATTCATCTCAATTATTTTTAATATCAAATGTTTATAATTTTTACATATTGGTAATTATATATATTAACGATTGAAATCATGCATTGGCAAGCATGAAAAGAAAAATGTTACAACTACAAAGAAACAGAGGAAGTATTAACATGTAGCCGCACATGGGCCAAATAGCTAGTGATAGAAATTGAGATATGTAAAAATATAGAAGTTGACCTTTAAATCTATTAAGGGGTTGTTTGGTTAACAAAGAAAGTGAAAATTCCCATGAACTTTTAATATATGAGAATTAAATTCTATAATCAAATTCATGAAAATTTCTTAAAATTGTTTGGTTGGTAATGAGGGAGGTAAATTCCCATGGGAATTTCAACTTACCTAGGGGGGACTAGGTAAGTAAATTCCTACATTTTATGGGAATTGAAAATTCCTAGGAAGATCTACTTCCCCCATTTCACCAAATTTTATTCAACCAAACAACTTATCCATTTTACAATTCCTAGGAACTTTCAATTCCCATAATTTTTTATGTAAACCAAACAACACCTAAGTAAGGAAATTCAACATGTATTATTGGTGTGTGATTCCTTTACCATATTTTTTTTTTCTCTATTAATAACTATCATAGCTCATGTACCAAAGAGCTAAGCACTTTTATATACGAAAGGCACAAACTCAATACCTTAATGGCTTAATGAGAAAATTATGGCACAAAACACTCTTCGCAATTAAGTATTAATCTAAATTAAGTCTACATATATAAGTATGTTTTCTCTTGTCAATATAAGTGTGTTTTACTTGCAACAAAATATATATATATATATAGGGTCGAGATCCGGTGAGAACCACCTCCTATGTGAGAACTCATCCCATATGTGAGAACAAATCTCAGCCATTAGATTGTATTAATCCAATAGCTGAGATTGTTCAACTAATAATGGCAATAATGTAATTCTTAAAACAAACAAATCAGCCCCCAAAACCCAAATTACGTACAATTTGTATACTCCTCTTTCTCTCTCTTTAAAGCTTGAAGGTGGGATTTCTCTCTCCTCTTCTTCACTACTGCATAATTTCAAGTTCCGAATTGATTTCACTTATTCGAATTTCTCTTAATTTGATTTTAATTTTGATAATTTCAAGTGAATTCCCAAACTTCTTGTTCTGATTTTTGTAATTTTGATAATTTCAAATCATCTTCTTCCAATTTTGATAAGTTCAAAACAACTTGAAGGTGGGATTACAATGGAGATTAAAAATTGAAGATCGGCGATTTGTTTCCAGAATCATAAGCAAATTTACACCGACCTCACTCGCCTTGCTCGTGAATCTCGATGTAAGTTTCCAGAATTTGATGAATTTTCATTTAATTTGAATTTTTTGTGGATCTAGTTTTCGAATTTGATTTTGAGCTTACGGTGAATGAAATTGAAGCATTATTTGAGTTATTCAAAAAATTGAGTTGTACAATCATTGATAATGGCTTAATTTTTATTCTGAATCAAATTTAGTACTATATTTATGGTCAGCATATTCAGTACAATATTCTTATTATGTTCTTATTTACGAATGATGTTATTATGCTCCTATGTTTTTTAAGTTCTTATTTGCAACCAAATTTAAAATGAGCAAATAAATTGAAAATGAGCAAACCTAAATGTGTGCAATAATATAGAAAAAAAATATAATGAGAAAACATAATTAAATGAGCAAATACAAAAAAAAAAAAAAAGGAAAAAAAAAAGAGCAAATATAAAAATGAGCAAATAAGGAAAATAATTTGGTGGTGGTAGGGGGAGGGTGCAGGGAACAGCAGCGGCGGCAGGGATGATAAAATTAAACTATGGTTATAAATAAAAATGAAAAAAAGGTGAGATTGGTGACATTGTGTGAGCATATTTTGATGGGATAAGTTTTTGATGATTTGGTCTATGGTGAAATTGTACATGTACACTTTCTTTAAGTTATGACTTCTTGACCATATTGTTGTGTTTTTATTTTAAATTTGAGTATAATTGTTTCATCTTGTTGATGTTGCTAGGATAGTTTGTTTTTGTTGGGGTTGTGCTTCCTAAATACTTATTTGCTCATTTCACAAATAAGCACTAGGTTATTTTCTCATTTGATAAATGAGCATTCAATTATTTGGTCATTTCCTAAATTTGTGAAATAATATAGAAAAAATATAATGAGCAAACATAATTAAAATGAGCAAATACAAAAAAAAAACAAATATAATTATGAGCAAATGAGGAAAATAAGCTAGTGATGGTAGGGTGCAGGGGACAGCGACGATGGCAGGGGAGTGACAATGAGACAGGTTGTGGTGATGGTGGTGGTGGTGGTAGGGTGCAGGGGCAGAAGATGGTGAGAAATGGCAAAAATCAAATATATCATAGCCAGCAAAATATATCATACATGTTCTATTATAGGCAGCAAAGTTGATTATTTGTTCACTTTTTGTTGCACAAATATAGTGTTTTTTTATGATTAGTTGTAAAATTATTTCACATGGTTTGAATTGGAGTTCTTACATGTCATACTTTGTAGTGTAGAACATAGTCTACCTTCTGCTATTCAACCCCTTCTTCTGCCCTCCTGCTACTGCAGCCACCCTTCTACTGCTCCCCCTCTTCTCTTATTATGTTTTATCTTTTACTGTGTTATTGACTTGTTATTGAGCAAAATAGAATTAAAATGACTAAATAAAATAAAAATGAGCAAACAGAATTTAAAATGAGCAAATATAACAAAAGCTATATTTTCTACTTTATTATGTTCTTAACTTGTTTTTTGTAATATTCTGCAGAAATGATTAGCAACAACGAACAGTGTAATAGTGATTCTAGTGCGAATGGCATAAAGAGTATGTGTTTTGGAACGTGGTTTCTGTTGCTGTACACACGGTAAATTACAGGAAATCCATATGGCTGTGCTTTCCTATATAGCAGTAAACATAGCACGACTATACGAGCAATCACTTTTGTTAAAGCTAAAACCCTGAGATTTCTTATTTGTAGTGTAGTTGGATTTTAAATTTGCAACATGTCATATGTGAACCTATTAACTCAATTGGTAGAGCACTATGCAAATGCATAGAGGATGTAGGTTCAATTCCTACATAGGTTATTTTTATAAACAAAATTAATTAAAAAAAAATCAAATTAGTACTAATTATATGAGCAAAAAAATGGTTTGAAATGATTTATAACTATATAAACTTTGTTACAATTAAACTCTCATACAAACTTATGTCTCCATATTACATAAATGAACCTACGTAGGATTCGA